AGAATACACCAATTCGGGGTTGCACCTGAGTGTCAAGGGTTGCAGTGGTTTGGCAGATCAGCAGCCCTTGCGAGCAGATAAACATGTCGGTTGCAGAATGTATCAAGCCAGGTTCCACCCCCAAGCTTCAAAGGGTGACAAAGGCTTGGCAAAACAGTTGTTGCTGCTGCGAGCATACACATGCATGTTGCAGAATACACCAATTCGGGTTTCCACCCAAGTGTCAATGGTTACAGTGGTTTAGCAGACCAGCTGCTGCTGCGAGCAGATACACATGTGTGTTGCAGAAAAAATTTCAGGGTTGGTCTGGCCGACCTCGTCCCACTGTGAGTGAGAACACACATGTCTACTGCAGAATGAGTCAGTTGAAAGTTGCACCAAAGGATCAAGAGTTACCAAGGTTTGGCCGGCCAAGTGCTGCTGTTTTGCAGAAGAATCACTTCAGAGTTGGATTGGCCGACCACGTCCTGCTGTGGGAACACACATGCGTGCTGCAGAATAAGTCATTTGAAGGTTGCACCCAAGGGTCGACATGTTACAAAGGTTTGGCCGACCAAGCCGGCCTGCTGCGAGCATACACATAGACGAAGTCGACTTTGGATTGCACCCAAGATCAAGGGGTCAATGGGCACAAGGGTTTGGCCGACAAGTTGTTGCTGTGAGCATGTACATGTGTGTTGTGTCAGTTCGACAGTTCGAAGTTGCACCCACGGATCATGGGTCGCAAGGGCTTAGCCTAAGGATGTTGCTTCATTAAAGTAGCCATAGGCGCTAGGAGTCCTTGCACGCGCCCTTGTGCGGTCTTGCGTGTGCAGGGGTTTTCACACAATCCCCCTGATGCCTACCCTACTCTTCCTACAAGAAGCGGGGGTGTAGATCGGCATCCACTCGCTGCTGCGAGCACACAAATGTTTGTCGCAGAATAAGTCAATTAAGGGTTGCACGGGTTGCACCCAAGGATCATGGGTTACACCGGCTTGGCCGTCCAATTACCACTATAACAACAAACACACATGTGTGTTTCAGGATCAGTCATCTCAAAGTTGCACCCCAAAATCAAGGGTTGCATAGGTTTCGCCAAACACGTGCTGCTGTTAGCATGCATATGTGCGCGGCAGAATAAGTCCATACAGGGTGGTGTGCGGGTTCAAAGGTTACCAAGGTATGGCCCACCCATTGCTGCTGCGAGCACACACATGTGCGTTTCAGATTAAATCAAAGCAGGGTTGCACCCGAGGATCAAGGGTTAGAAGGGTTTGGCCGATCAGGTGCAAGTATATAAATTCAGGGTTGCACCTAAGTGTCAAAGGCTAGAATGTTTTGGCAGGCCAGCTGCTGCCTGCGAGCAGACACAAATGTGTGTCGAAGAATGTCAAGTCAGGATTCCACCCCCAAGGTTCAAGGTGACAAAGGCTCCGGGAATCCAAGGGTCAAGGTGCTGCTGCGACAATACACATGTGTCGCAGAATTAATCAACTCAAGTGCTGCACCGAAGAATTTCGCGATCAAGGGATACAACCGTTGGGTTGACCAGTTGCTGATGTGAGCACACACATGTGTTTTGCAGAATACGTACATTCGGGGTTGCACCCAAGCATCAGGGGTTACAAGGGTTTGGCCGCGCAGGTGCTATAGCGAGCACGCACATGTGCGTGACAGAAACAACCAATTCAAGGTTGCATCCAAAGATCAAACGTTACACGGGATTGGCCGACCAACTGCTGCTGTGAGCATACATATGTGTGTTGCAGAATATGTCAATTCAAGATTGCACCCAAGGGCCACGGGTTGCAAGTGTTTAGCCGACCACGTGCTGCATACATATGTGTTGCAAACTAAGACCAATTCAAGGTTGTACCCAAGGGTCAACATGTTACGAGGGTTGGCCGACCAGGTGCTGCTTCGAGCCTACACATGTGTGCTGCCGAATATTTCAGCTCAAGGTTGCACTCAAAGGCCAAAGGCGACAAAGGTTTGGCCGACCAATTGCTGCTCTTAGCGCACACACAAACACACGTGTGTTTCAGAATAAGTCAATTCAAGGTTGCACCCCAAAATCAAAGGGTTGCAAGAGTTTCGCCGACCAAGTGCTGTTCATATGTATGCTGCGGAACAAGTCAACACAGGGTGGCCTCCAATGAATAAGGGTTACGAAGGTTTGGCCCACCCACTGCTGTTGCGAGCACACACATGTGTGTTGCAGATTAAGTCAACGCAGAGTTGAACCCGAGGATCCCGGGTTGCAAGGGTTTGGCCGGCCAGGTGCTGCTGTGAGCATACACATGCGTGTCGCAGAAAAATTCACGTCAGAGTTGGTTTGGCCGACCACGTCCTGCTGCAAACAGACATGTGTGCTGCGCACCCAAGGGTCGAAATGTTACAAACATTTGGTACATAAAATAAGTCAACTCCTGGTTGCAAACGAGGATCATGGGGTCAATGGGCAAGTGCTGTGAGCATACACATGTGTGTTGCGTCCGTTCAAGGTTGCACCCAAGGGTCAAGGGTGTTCAGGCTTTGGCGTCTCGCAGAATATGTCAATTCAGGGTTGCACCCAAGGATCATGGGCTAAAGGGGTTTGGCCGGCCAATTGCTGCTGTGGGAACACACACATGTGTGTTTCCGAAAAAGTCAAGTAAGGCACCCAAAACCAAGGGTCACAAGGGTTGGAAATGCTGCTGCGGGCATGCAAATGTCTGCTGCAAAATGTTGCTGTCTGCGAAGTGCAATGCTGACAACAACATGTCACACGTTACAAGGATATGGGTTCTGTCCCCGTTGAGGATACCAGCTGCAGACTCACATGGTCTTCGTGGGTCCCAGCATAAGTTACAGACCTGGGACCCCCTGCACCAAATTGGTCTCGCACAGCTGTCGCCATGTACAGGCGTTCACACACACACACACGTGTAGGTACATGCACGCACACAAACCTTCACCGAGTCAAGACATAAGGGAATCTTTATCGAGCTTGAAGCAACTACATTGATGTATTATCTCATTTCGGGAAGTGGCGGCGTGTGTGCTGTGTACGTTGTATTGTGTTAGTAAAGTGTACCTGGGTGATGCAAACCCATAAGCAGTACACGTATGGGCATGTATGCGCGTGTGTACGTGTTAACAGAGGAAAGCACGTGAATGTGAATTCATGTGTATATGCATATGCACAAAGCATAATGCTTTTGAACCTTTGTGAGCAAGAGCATGTATAAAGGCATGCGCGCAAATCATAATTGAATATAATTATAACAACACCAAAAACCACAATACTCAAAAACCCAGCGACAGGCCTTTCTCCAGAAGGGACTGCCCTTCTCTAAAGATACGAATTACAGTAATTAAAATACCCCTGTGACTAATGCATCCAACCAAAACCGTGATCACCTAGCGAAAGCAAGCTGTGCGTCTGGAACCGTGACGATATAGTATGATATAGAACAATCAACCGTTCCTCACGCCGGACACCACACCTCCGAATGCGTCCCACGTCCGATTCCCCAAAACCCACACCCAAACCGTTTGACCATAGATGCCCGTCCGCACACGTTAGTAGAGCAACAGCTGGTCAGTTAACAGATGAAAACAGAGCCTTCTTAAAGCCGGAGAACAGCTTCCTCTGACACAGTGGCTTGAACCGCTGATGTGTTGTCGTTCCCTCGGTCTTAATCAACTGGCTTCGGATGCCCATACCCTGCCGATTCTCAGACTGGCAGCCTGAGCGAGTCAAGAAACCACTATTGTCACTATTGTCTCGCGCTCTGCTTGCCACGTCATCTTCATCATCAAACTAACACTCAAGCACTAAAACCTATAATGTGCGAACGGCCAACCTTTCCCGTCTTTCAAGCAGCACCGTACCTGGCCCGGCTTCATCAACAACCCAGAACCGACCCCGCAAAATCCCATTGAAGATCCACACCCAAGACCTGTGCCAAGTGGCGGGTCCCAAAACCCTACCGGAGCCTGCACACCCAGCTCCTGATGCGAGAGGGTTTGAGTCAGGGCTTCGCAGTGTCAAATTATCTGGGGAAGGGGGTGGTTGGTGGGCTTCCAGCTCCCCTTATCACCTCCATGCATCCTGTGGATACGGTTTTGATTCGGGGTAGGGAAGACTCAAGTGCAACAAAGTGAGTATCCACACTCGCCGCCACCACCACCGCCAACAACAGCAACAACAGCGGCAGCAACAGCGCCAGCAGTATCGGCAGCAGCAGCGGCAGCAGCAACGGCAGCGCCAGCGGCAGCAGCAGCAGCGGCAGCAGCGGCGGCAGATAGCGGCGGCAGCAGCAGCAAGCGGCGGCAACGGCAGCAACTGCAGCGGCAGCAGCAGCAACAACAACAACAACCACCACCACCACAACCTAAAACTACAACTACAATCACAACCACTGCTAAGGGCGACGACGACGACGTCTGGCAGATCTGGCCCCACTCACAACTTCAAGTTTCCAGCAACCAGATCGCTACGGTGAAATATACCCCACGGAGCTACGACAAGTGCAGCCCGCCTGCTCGAATGCCTTGGGGCCGAGAATTTGGGGGTGCAGATGTGTTCGGGCTTCTGCTGGGCTTCGACAGTAGCCATACCCACCCTATGCCCGAGACTTCGACGCAGTGCAGGGTCTTCTGTGATCTACGAGGAGACCAGGAGACCTATAGATCCGGACGCTGAGTTCACTGACCTTAAGTCAGGTCGATCCTGATTGAATGAATTTGGGGACCTTCGGCTCAAGCTTCGTGATGCGAAACCAGGATCACATCACTGCCACACTTCCTGCTTCGTGCTATGTTCCCAAACATCTATCACCTTCGATAACGTTTCCCTCTTGAGAAAGAGCTCCACAGAACCGAAGGCGTAAGCATTCACGCGAAGTTGATAATTACTGGCCTCGTTGTCACGAGCACCTGCTCATTGTAGTTGCCAGTGCTGTTGCCATATGCAAGGTTTCTCCTAACCGCTTCCCATGACCGCCATGGCCCAGGGAGTCTTGGGAAGCGGCCCGCAGTGGTGACTCCGTGAAGTTGGCCCAGTCGCCTTGGCAGACACGGCAACAAAGCGAAATCAGGAAAAAAACAAATGACTGCTTGCTAAATCTGCTTGCCGACTTGCAATAGCTGAAGACTTGCCTATCTAACTAACTCACTAACTCACTCCAATGACCTGACTAATGGGCCAAGTTACACAAAATGACTAGGTTGTTAACTTAATTTCCTCACTGAATCAACAACTTGCCAACCAACACACCAACCAACCGAACAAACACACAACCAACCACCAACCCGATGATTAGCTAGCCAACCCAGCAACAAATAACAAATCAGCAAACTCCGGGCTTACTACCTACCCATGAAACCGAGAAGATAACACAGGGCTAGATAGCTGGCTGACTGAAAACTACCCAGCTACCTCGCAGGACAAACGAGCTTGGCTGCGTGACGAACTACATACGAAGAAATTCTGAACTAGTTGACTACTTTTAGCAAAACGACTGTCGATTTCTTAAGGAATCAACAGTTCACTGCATGGGCACAAGACATTGGCAACCGTCGGGTTAGATGACCGAAAGAGTCAACAAGTTTGCATGAAGGACGCGTTGGAAACTAGGCCCATGAATAGCTGAGAGCTCAGGACAGTTTGTAGCTTGGGGTTAGGGTTTAGCCGCTGTAGCCGAGACACCCCACGCGGAGCCTGTGAGGCCGTCCTGATAGAACCTCGGAGGGATGCTTGTTCCACGAGCTTTGGTAATGACAAGAACATACAAGAGCCCGAACCCAAACGAGAAGAACAAAAACCGCTTCCAGACCGCTTCAGCTAAACATCACGTTGCAGCCCATACTTGACCGGGGGCATGCCGATGATGGCCATCATCGCGAGGCGACCGTTCGCCAACTCTGCATTAAGCTTTTTCTTTTTCTCCTTCGGGAACCGCAGACATTCAGAACTTAGTTTAGATGCTTCAGCTTGAGGACGACCGGACAAAGGCCCTTAAGCCGCGAGACTTGAAACTGAGTAAAGCCCTTCGGGTTCGGGAATCGAGCTTTTGCTCAACTCGTCAACCTCCTGGGACCTCAGTGAACGTGACATCCACGCCCATGTAGATCTTGCGGGATGTCTTGAAAGCCTTCTGCTCTCCTACGTTTCTGGATAAACCAATCCCGCGAAGACCAAACGATCACGTCCCCGGCACTCTGACGCAATCCGCTGCAGATATAGGCAGCAGAGACTTGCGTGAATGCCGCTTGAACCTGAACCGCCATAACCCAGCACTCTGCACGCAGGAAGCCCTCCTCCGGATCGGCACTCGTGAGCACCTCAGACTGGACCGAAGTGTTCGGGGCGTGAATTTGAGACGCTCGGGCCTGTTTGGGTCGAGGCTCAGATGGCTCAGGATCTGGGCCCGAGGCTTCACGGCTTCAAAGCCGGAGGGGGCACGCTTCACGAACCATGCTACAACTAGTGAGACTTCAGGTTCAATTCTTTGGGGTCAGGCTTTGGCAAATCAGTTCAAGGCCCCGACATACCAACCGAAATCGCCGGGGCGGCCGCTAGCGATGTCGGAGCCTCCAGCAAAGGCTAGATAGTCAGGGACGCGGTCTTGAGTCTGGGTTTGCGGGCTCCTTTAGACTTCTTCGTCAGCCACAACACGCAACGCCTAACTAGAGGGCATGACTTTGAACCGAATGCCACGGGGCGATCCGTGCTAAGTTAACTGCACACGGAAGGCAACCCTGCCCCGCTCGAACATTTTTTCAGCGAGCCTGCTCCACGAGAGACCTCGCACCATCCCATGTAGAGCCTTGGCCGTTTCCGCGATACCAGCAAAGTGTTGAAGCCAGGACCCTCGGTCACGAGACACATGCAGCTCAGCCGCAGGATCTGGGTCCAGCCCCCAGCGGGCACCTGCGACAAGAGGAGCTTCCAGTGCCAAGCTCCGGGCATTTGGGGGGCTGTGGCTCTCAGAATGCAGGTCTAGAGTCCAGAGCCAGATGTCTGGTCATGTTGGTCTGTGCCCAGCCTTTGAGATCGCTGCAAGTCCGTTGGGCACATCTGCGAACTTCAGGCCCATGCTCGGGGAGAGGAAGCCTGCGAGCGTCGCAAACCTAACATCGGATTCCTGGATATTCCTGGATCCTCAACCGGCTGGAGCTGTAAAGCCCTGTCAAGTCGAAGACTTTGGAATCTTTTTAAGACCCAATACTCGGAACCCTTCAAGGCTTTGGGGCTTCCGTCTTCGCCTTGTGGTTTTTCGTTGGGCTGGGCTTGGGGCGAAACAAGCTTTTGGCTTGTCGGATGACTTAAAGTGGCATGCAAGGGCACGCAACGATCTGCCTGGGAACTTTCCCGCGATCTCAGGGGTGATGTAGCCTTTCGCACCGAAGAGCAGACAATTTCTCGTCTTAGATTTTTCAGGGTTGAACTTCAGAACCAACGAAAGCCTACACTACAGTTTGCAGGCACCAAAGCTGAGCAATCCGGCCCATGGTCGCGAGCATCGCGATGCGACCGTGCTTCAGCTCCACGGAACGCCTCGGCATCAAGGAACTACGAAAGGCAGCAGCAGTAGCAGTAGCAAGTCGAAGTAGCAAGTGGTAGTGGTGGCAGCAACAGAGTCGTCGTCTTTGATGCCCTCGAGCTTCGAGGATTCCGAATTGCGAGCCAGCCCCAAGCTTTGCAAGGGCCTGAGGTTGCGGGTCTACTGCGAATTCAGGCGACCAAGTAAGCACGGATAGGTAAGATGTAAGTACAATAAACAGAATCCCCAACTAGGCGAAACCCCAAGCAAACCGCCGATAAAAGCTCAGACAGAACCCGCGAAGGAGCGGCCTGCGCATGAACGCCTCCACATCGCCGTCACGGGCGAGACCAAGCCTTGTCTGGCAGCATGAGGGCTCAGAGCATTGCAGGTGTGCAAGCGGGCCTGACGTCTCCTCGCGTCATTCAGAGCATTTTCTTAACTTATCTTAGGGTTGCGATTCAGAGCTAGCTGTGAGCAGAGATGCATTGGGCGTGCACGGCTGTGAGGTTTCGTGGCTTGAGTGCTTACGTGACACGCAGGTCCTTGGCCCAGGAACGGCACATGATGAAGGCGAAGTTTTTGGGCTCGGGCTTTGCTGAACATCCACCTTCTCACACAAACAGACTTGCGCCTATCCAAGCACACAGCCGCCCACAAACAAAGAAAACCGAAGAAGCCGCCGAAACGACTAGGGCAAGCCGAGAAACGGATCCCAGTATCCGACTGGAGGCTGCACGCCAAGCTCCTTTTCCAAGGAGCTCAGTAAACCGATTGTTCTGAACCACCTGGTTCTAGTTACGACTACTAGTTTGCTTGAGATGGATCTTCTTTGCCTTTAAGGCTCCGTCAGGTTTCCTGAACAGGATGGTCACCATGTGCTACCGTCTTAGAGATTGGTCGTGCAGCTGTTCTGATGTACCGCGCCAACCGGTGACCGCTGGACCATTGCTGCAGGTTGCAGCAAGATTTGAAAGATCTCGTGTCCCGACCCTTCACACCGGCTTCGATGTTTGAAGACGCTGGCTGACAAGGAACCTGATACCCAGTGCAAGGCTCTCTCATGTTGGAGAAGAAATTCCAGAAGTTGAAGGGAAAATGGCATGCAGCCCACTCATCCCGCAAACCTTGAGATATCCTGGAACAGAGGGGCCCCATTGACACGAGCCTTTCAAGGCCCCTACGCCGTAGCTCTCCTTGCTACAGAAGGGACCTCTTGGGCCTGGCCGTGCCTGGCCTGCTCGAAGGCCCGGAGCGCTGTGGTGAACTTGGAGGAAGAGGCCTTAGCTGCCAGAGCTCGCTAGGCAAGACCGGGGTCAGACTAGAGATGCTGCCCTTCAGAATCCGCTCTAAGCTCTTTCCATCTCTTGCAGAAGGCAAATGCTAGGCTAACTCTTCATAACTGAAGGTCCTGAAGCACAAAAGCCCACCCGCCCACCCTGCAGCGCCTGCGCTTTTCTCACCTGCAGCAACATCCGTGACCACTTCCTATACGACTTCTTGGCTCAAGCAATCCTCAAGAAGAGATGGAAACCTACATTCACTGCCCTTTGGGGCTCTGCCCGCTTTTGCCAGTCTCCCCAATCCCTGAACAAAGCACGACACCCCATAGGAGTCACATCCGTGCCGGCACCTGGCTAGCAAGGACGGCTCCGGCCGCCACGACGCAGCCGGCGGCTGCGGTGGGTGCCGCGCTGCTGGGCTGCGCGGACTGGGCAGCAGAGTTCAGAAAGCTCTGCAGCGTGCTCAATCTGCCTTACGGTTTCGGATCTGCGCTGCAGTGGTCAGCGTGCATGTTCAAAATGCCTCATCCACAATTCTTGGGTGTGCTTCCAACTGCAGCAATGATCTGCGTCAGCATGGTTTACAGACATGAACAGCTCGTCATGAGCAGCTCGTCCTTGCTGAGCAAGACATCCTGTATGGTAAACATCTGTCACCTTCCGTACGAATCAACAATATCCCTCGGGACGGTTCGGTGCACGGTTCACAATGACCATACCCATGGAAGCGGAGCTAAGACCGACCTATGCCCAACCTCCCTGAAGAGCGACCTGGGCCTGGCCCTTGTCTTGGGACTTCCACTCGAAGGCGACTCTAAGTCTTCTGGGGGTGGCTCCGCCACTGCGCAACATCTCCCTGGAATTACGCCAACATGCGATGCACCTGTGTCGATATCATATAGGAGTTCGAAAATTCCTCAGCTCGTTTCCTGGCCTGATTCCCCCGCCGGAGCGAAGTGGTTGGGGCGCTGCTTGGCGCCGCGCTAGGCCCGAGGAAGGCTGCACCTCGCGGTGCTAAAAAAAGATCTTTCTCAGCCGTTCTTTCCGGTGCCCCTTTCTTTGAGGCTTCAGAAGCTTGCTGCTCTTGTTGCCGTGCTGTGCTCTGCATAGTCTTCGTTCTTCTCCTTGCTCTGTCACCCTGCCACCCTTCACCTTTAGTTACCACGGTAACTAGTGCACATCGCCAGTTTTGCTGCGAGCACTCTTCTCTTCGCACACTACCATCACCACCACCAGCACCTTGAATACACCACCAACACAACTACAACTGCTGATATATATATATATATTCTTCTATGACACGACATTTTGACATGACACCGTCTTAGGCCGACCAGAGCTACCACTGAGTGTGTCGGCCGGGTCGGCGCCTCCGATTGCACCAGCGAGGCCGAGGCCGCTGACCATCTGAGCATCGGTTCGGGTGTGCGGTTGGGGTTGGTACCCGTTGGGCCGGGCTTGGGGGTTTCAAATTAGCCTTCGGCTTGAATGGGCTCAAGGCCTGAGGGTGATTTGAGCTTGAAAGAAATCGTTTAGGATCCGGTTTTTGACTCAGCCTGTCTCCATCACTGCACAAAAGACATCAACCCAACGCTGGCTCAGAAGCACCGAACGTCCCTCAACTTGCCGCCGTCCGAGAGACCTGCTAGCTAAAGCTACTCCACGGCTCCGAAGGCTCCGGGCTGTAGACTCACAACGACACCCCAGACCATGCGCACGACGTAAATGACATGCGAATCTTCACCAAAGACGAGGCAGGCCTTCTTAGAAGGCATCACTAAGTTTTCGGAGGTCCTAAATCCGAGGGGATTTCCCCTTTCTACACTTCCTCGCCGAAGGGAGTCCTGTGGGCTGCTTGGCTTGAGCGCACCACAGCTGCGGGCAGCCCAGCACCATACTTGTCAAGCACGGTGCCACTGCTTTGATATACTTACAACACCACACCTCGTATACAGTATACAGACACTGACATCCATCATCGTGATCACCATCGTCATCACCGTCGTCATGAATAACATCATCTCGCGCAGCTGTGCGAGCATCGTCTTCTTCTTCCTATGTCTACTCCTAGCTTCTAGCCTATTCTGGTGTTCTTTGTCGTACCTCTGATCACAACAACAACCACATCATCACCATCACCACCGCCTTCACCATCACCACCAGCATCACTAGTCACCAGCATCAATGTCCTCATGATCGCCATCATCATCATCATCATCATCATCAATAGTTAGCATCATCATCATCATGATCTCATCCCCGTCATGGTCATCCTGGTCATCATCGAATCATTGCAGGAATCATGTTCATCAAAATCGCAATCATCCTTGATCGAAATGTCTGCGATCACCAACACTAACACCATCATCCTTGTGTCAGCAATATCTTTCAACAAAGTCACAAGCCAACATCGCTCCGAGTAGCCAGAGTAAACAATGCCGCACGAAAGCTAGCATCATCAGAGCTATTGCTCTATGCTGCTGCGAATGATCCAAAACCCTCCAAGACACAAGAAAGTCCTGTGGATCCGTAGGCAGATTCTGTCAATTCTGCACCGAATATTGGAGCTCAAGACACACAAATCAAATCGGATGCATAGAAGCGATTGAAGACTCACCTTCCTGGCTCATCGGTTCATTGAATCACACCAGCATGTTACGTAAAAGGAATGGAACATTGGCTGATCTGAATCTTCAGAGAGCTGTTCAGTCTGATGAGATCTTTGTGTGAGGATGGTAGCATGGCGTTGTAAAGGTCTGCTTGCCAGCACGGGTAACACGCCGCCCACCAACCTCGCCGACCTCGCCAGGAGGCTCCTCCGCCTCGCCCTAGGCTCGGTGGGGTCAGCTTATCCGGATGGGGATGAATCCAGATGACCCAGCATACCCTAAGAAGTTTCGGTGCGGCCCCAACACCTCCGGCTCCAAGAGCTCCAGGAGCTCCAAGGGCTCCTCGGCTTCCTGAACTCCGCAGCTGTGCTTGGGCTCCTTTAGCGGGCCGGCCTAGGCTCACCAAACGCCTCAAAGAGACATGATGCAGGCCTGGAGATCCTCGGCCGTCTCGGGAAGCAGTCCTGCCTGCAGGGATTGTACTTCAACTCACAGATTTGCATATGCAAAGCTCATCCAGGCCCACGCCGACCTCGTCAGCATCGGCATCGCCGTACGCGACAAGTGCTTCCTCCTGGCTCGGGAAAGCTCCCAAGCTGCTTGAGCTTTCCCGTCTACTGATCGGAGTTCTCAATCCTCTCTCCTGCCTAAATGCAAACCGCCCCAAAACTTTGCGAGGTTTGGTACAAGGCTTTGAAGAGCACAAAGCCTAGCAGAACTCAGTTACTTGGGAAATCACACTGCAAAAACGCAAGGTTCACAGCAGACTTGGACGCCGCCTCTTCAAAGACGAGTCCCTCCGCTGCCTGTCAAGCTCCGAAAAGTTGGAGATTTTGAAACTTTAAATTCAATTTTAAGGATTCACGCTTCACCTCCACTGTTTCAGGGGCGTCGCGGTCGCATTTGTCTGGTTAAAAAACAGATCTAAAGCAGCTCGGGAAGGCAACGCTGCTTTCTCATGCTTCGTTGGCCATGCTTCAGTAGACCGGATGTCACCATGCGAACAGCCAAGCGCCATGCTTCCCCCACTTCGGCAGCCTCTTCCATGAAAGCCTGGAGGCTACACGGTCAGGAACGGCATGACAAATGAGGAAAGGAGCAATTGAAGCTGGCCGCTTCCTGTGTCGCTGTCAGCAAAGACTGCATTGAACTAAAACATTTGAACACACCTCTGTCACAATTTGGCAGCATGTCCTTCTTTCCCTGTCAATTACCAGCAAGTGCTGTATTCGGCTCACGGTGTGCGCCGCTACAACCAGCAAAAGGTGAGTTGGCAACAGCATTGCGAAGTCTTGCAAGGAGTGACATGTGGAACTACTAGTAGAATGACTTCAGTTGCTCGGAAGCTTTACCCTGAAAGAGGTCGAGGCGGCACCCGCCTCTGCCTCTTCGTAAACTTCGAGAGTCTCTGCCTGAGCGATGCATCGTGGCATGGGCCCTGTTCGGGATGCTCCTCTGGCTCAAACACACGTAACAGCACTGCATGCACCGCGATCTCAGAACGAGACACTGCGAGATTCATCAAGGCTGAGCACACGATACCCCGTGCGGAATCTTTTTCGCAACACCCACACACCCGCACAAGGAACCACGTCACCATGCAACCGAAATTGGAAGACTGCCTCCTCCGGCAAAGTGTCCTCCTCGAGCAGCTGCCTTCATAAACTGTTGAAAGGCTCAGGGCTCAAGACATTGAGCGAGGATGTTAGGTTAGCATCCAGCACAAAAGAGGGGTCGTGTCAACAAGTCGACAGCAACATACACACACACACACATACACACACAAAGACTAACTAACTGACGTTCTTTATGTATCATCAATCCATCTCGCTACCTAGCTATCTACCTAGCTATCGAGCTGGTTATCTTTTAACTTACATATCTATCTCTCTATCTATTTATCTATCTATCTGTTTATCTATCTATCTCTATCTACATTCTCTATCTCTATCTCTATCTCTCTATCTATCTCTCTCTCTCTCTCGCTCTATCTGTGAATCTGTTTATCTGTCTATGTGTCTGCCTGTCTATCTATCAATCGATCTATCTATCGATCTGTTCATCTATACATGAACAGAAGAAAGCCGAAACCATAGCCGGCACGCTTCTTCCTGTTTCTGGAACAAGCAGGCAAACTCGACCACAGCCCCATCTCACAAATCCGCCTCGGCTCGTCGAAGCCATCTGGTGGAAGAAACGGGGTCTCCTCCGCCACCTTGAGTGCAGATGATATGCATTAGACGCTTTAGATGCCGATTCCGCCGGCCCTCACTCCGTTTGCCCCAAGTCGACTCCACATCCACCACACAGGATCCTCAAAATCTCGCCTTCGGTCACTTTAAACTTTAGGTCCGAACTCCCCACCCACATCGGCTCCCCCAAGAATTATGCCCCAGCCTGCCATGCCAAGCTTGGGTCCTCCAATTCTTTGGGAGCTACCTGGCGAGCTGGCTGGCAAAGCCAGGTGACGAATACGGTCGTGTCTTCATAGTCATAGTATAAGACAGTGTACGGCTCCGCAAAACAGCCTGTCCGTTGGATTATATCCGCTGCATCTTCGAACCTTGTTTCGGATGGCACAGCTGCTGGGCTCCGAGTATCAAAACTGACTCTGGATTTTGCGACTTCTTGTGCCCGGTGCCTCAACTCTGTTTCCCAAACCGGCCTCTGTTGACTCGTCTGGCTGGTCTTCTCCATACGCCTCGCCTTCGTCTTCCTCATCCAGAATCTCGATGCACTCATCCTGGCAAAGTCCCACCGCCCTACCCCCGTTCACAGCAGCGAAACCAAGCACAGGCATTTGACTCGTCGCAGTCAAAGCGAATCAAACCATCGGAGAGGAAGCCATTCTGTGAAGCACTCACTGTGACTGCCCGAAACACAAAGTCACTGCAGGCCCTTTCTGAGACGCTGCCTCGGCGGCCTCGGCCTCGGCCTCGGCTTCGGCCTCGGCCTCGTCCTCCTCGGCTCCACCTTCCAGGCGGAAGGCTACGGCAAGCATTTGTCTTTTGGACTGCAGATCTCGGAGTCGCGGGGCGGCTCTTTTGTGCGTGTTCATGTTTTGGGCTTGCGGCCGCCAAGTCTTTCGTTTAGTCTTGGTCCTACGGGTTCGTGGGCGTTTCAAAGAAACTTTTTCTTTCACGGACACCTTCTTTTGGTTGCTTAGGAAAGATGAAAACTCCTCTTGTTCCTCAATGCGAAGTGGAAATACACGTCCGTGAAAAACACAAGAAACTGTTCCAAACGAGCACTTGCTAGTCAAACAGTCTTCAGCTCCGCAGGCCCTCCAACGAAGAAGGTCCTACAAATCACAAACCGAAAACCAACATTGCCATTAACTCCTGAATTTTGGTGGGCGCTCAAATGCCCACCTCCATATGGATCGTACTCTGCAACGAGGTACGGATCAAAGAGCGTGGCCTGCAGACGTGCATTAATTTGGACTTCTGATTTTGCATGACTGCACTGTGATCCATATTCTCCAATCAATCCGCAATCTTGGAATGTCGGGCACCGAAGCTTCTCACAGACGCCGACTTCAAATTTCAATCCCAATGCCAACAAGTCTGCACCTCGGCTGTCATGATAACTGCCATGCGCTGTTAAGATGACGAAGATTGGCAATGGCCAACCATGAATCCGCAGTCGCCAATAGTAATAGTTCGTCAAGCTCTGCCAACATTTGTTTGAAAAGGAAACTCCACGTTGTTCATGAACTAGGCGCCTAACCAGATTGCTTGCTGTATTGCTGTATCGGTGCAACCAATGCAACGAAACTGTTGCCTGCTGCAGTCACCACGTGCAAATCCGTGACACGGCTGAACCATGTCTGGCAGAACAGTTCTGAATGTCGAAACATACGACTCACATCAACTGACAAACATACACCTACGACATTGGATGTAAACAATGACACGCATCAACCGTTTCGAAAACATGTTTCCCAAGCCTCTCAAGGTGTCTGGCTTTTCAACTGTGCAAGATTATGCAAAATTGAAGCTTTTTTCCCAACCAGACTTCATAACAAAGTGTCAACAACCAACTAATGCCTTCCCACAGAACAAGAGGATGACTACGACCAGTGTCGGGGAGGCAGTGGAGTGGAGTGGAGTGCGACCTGAAAATAACTGCATAAACAAGTGTTGAGAAAGATTGCAATCTTCTTTTGTGTGGAGCGGCCGTGTTGACAGCAAAGTGCTGTACTCGTTCCTTGCAAAGTAGCTGAAAATCCACTTAAAGCAAACTAGAATAAAAAAGTGCGAAAATATCAGCAAAAACAGTGGCAACGCCTGCAAGTCCAAATCCACGTCAAGTGCCACGCTCAGTGGGAAACGGGAAGAGTCAATGCAAACTTCCGTCCACAAAGCCAAGTTGAGCGTTTTCTCCGACAAACCTTTGCCCAGGCATCTATTGAAGCCTTGACAGCCCGGCAGCTTGGTTGGTCGCCTTCTAGCGTTGCCGCCCTGAGCTCCTTCCTAACACAAGGGATGCTGAGCATGCCCCGCAGGGGCAAGTTGGGTTGGGTTGGTTGGAGTTAACTCCAACCCACTCTCCAACTCTAACAGCAACTCCAACCTGTGGTGGGGTTGGGGTTCGAGTTACCTCAATCAATCCCAGGGTCAATCCAACTCAAACCTGCGGACCGGGAGATCCTAACCGTTCGCTTGAGGCTGACCCGAACTCGGCCCACGAGTAGGGTGGGAAAACTCCTTGGCTGGAACCAATCTGGCTGGAACAAAACCCTTTTGGAACAAGCTCCCAGCTGAACAAGCTCCGACTTGGAACAACCCTCAATAAAAACATCATACTCTCACCTCACTGGAAGGATCTCTTGGCTAGAACAAGCTCCGGCTTGGAAAAAGCTCTGGGCTAGAACAAAATGCTCGAAAGTCGCTTTTCAAAAGGCTGGAAGAAAGGGGATGGGTCGAGAAGAGAGCTAGTTGTGACTGAGAGAAGCGGAGTTTAAAAGGCGGTGGCCAAACGAATCGAGTCGAAGAGAGTCCAATCCGCCGCAGGTTGGGTTGAACTGGTTCGAACAATGGGGTTGAACTTGGGTAACCTCGGGTTCGACGGTCTTCCAAAGTTGCGTTCAAGCTCTCCGGGCGCCCAACTCCGAGCAATTCAGAGCTTCTCCCAAAACACTCCGGGCTGCTGCTCAGAGCTACAAGGGCTCTCAGAGCCACACCAAGCTCTCCGAGTGGAAGGCGCCCAAGAACTCCGAGCTGCTCAAAGCTACAATCCGAGCTACTTCAATGCTTCTAAGCTGCTCCTTGAAAAATCCGCATTCGAGCACTCCGCACTCCTCAAAGAGCTGCCCCAAACAACTCCGAGCACTCCGAGTTGCAAGCTCTTGAGCCCCTACACTGCTTGTGGGCAAAGAAGTCCGAAAAGCCTGGATCTACCTTCCCAGAGAGCGACAGCAAACCCGAAGCTGAAAAAACCACCGAAACCAAGTGCTGGGGTGGCGGGGACTGACTGCCAGCCTCGCAAATCAAAAACGCGGCACAGAGAGAGCTAGGGGAGAGAGCGGGTCACTCTGCCTGTAGATGTTATGTTATGGGCATCACTCACTTGGGAAGTTCGGTTTGGGGTCGGTGCTTTCCACTCATCGCCCGCGAGAAATCCTAAACACAGAAACGCACTGCAATTGCGACGTCTTGCCTGGAACGTGCCGATGGCAAGAATTAGAACATTTTTTTTCGGCACTCGACGACCGATTCTCCACAACAAGAACCGAAGTTTTTGCCACGACTAATCCGAGCGATTGTGTCTACGCGGACGTACTTTAGGTTTGAGGTTAAATGCAGATATGTTCAAACCTAGGTTCAAGTCCAATCCGGGTTCAGGCTTTTTGAACTCAAGTTGAACCCAAGATTGAATCTGCATTAGATTTCAAAAACCCCGGTTTGACAAATTGAAAGCATTTCAAACCTGGATTGAACCAAGGTTCTGGCAAACTCCAACCAAACCCCTGAACTCTGCCCCAAAAAAAGTTCCAAAACCAGGTTCAGCCCAACCGGGAAATCCACTCCGACGGACCAGAAGAAGTCGAACAAAAAATTTAAATGAACACATAAATAATATAGGAAGTAGGCTTATGGGGGTAGTTTTCGCGAGACCCGAAACCGCGACAAATATCCTCGAAAACGGCCTTTTCGACATTCCGAGATTTTACGAGGGGGTGTACCGTAATGCCGAAAACCGCGACAAATATCCTCGAAAACGACTTTTTCGACATTCCGAGATTTTACGA